GTCTGATTGATGAGTAAAATTAAATTCTAATCATTTTTAGGTAAGCATTTTTAAATATATTTAAATTTAAAAATTAATTTTTTTTTGTAATTAATTACCAGCAAAGATAGATATGTAAGAACTTGGAATTATAAGAATATGCCTTATCCAAATAAAATGTAATAATAATATCATTTTTAAATTTTAAATAAACTTAATAAATTAATTAGGTATGAGATATAGCTTTAAAATCCACTATATGATGCTTTTCTTGACAAGGATAATAATTATGTTTTTGTATCAGATTTTAATGGTTTTATTTATGCATTAACATTTCCATAATTAGTTCTTGTTAGATAAACGTAAGTGACTAGTTCTAGAATAAATAGTCTTTATTTTGATTCAAAGCACAACATGCTAATATTTGGATGTTTAGCTTCTAATACAATAGGTTATTATAATGTTGTTTAATTCATGTAATCATTTGCTAACACTTTCTCTTATTCGTATGTAGGTAAGATTAAAATTTATTAATACAATTTTTATTCTAAAAAATGCAGATAATTAATATTTTTTAAGATGTTTTATTAAAATATTTGTAAAAATTTATAGGTGTGATGTCTACTCTTTAAACATAGTAAGGAATTATATTCTATCAAGAAGGTAATGTTATTTAGCTTTGGGATTATAAGTCTAAGTAATTAAGATATGGATTTTATGTTGCAGACTCAGGTATAGATTTCTATAGTGATTTTATCCTCATCGAAGGTTAAGCTTCAATTGCTGCTTTACTAACTCGTGAATAAACAGTATTTTTTGATATAAATACTATATCAATAATTAATATCTAAAAGCAAAAATGTTCCAGAAATACATAAATACAAGGGTATTTGATTTGTTCATATGTGAATTACATAACAATTTTAGATGTGAATGAATATAAAGTATTTTAATAAATTTCGATTGATAAAAACTCTTCTATTATAAAACTTAAAGCTATTGCGCAGCTTAAAACTTTTTTCGTAACTACAACTTAAGGATAGGTAATTGGGTACACTCTTAATCTTTCATCATAATAATTATAATTCAACTAAATATTTAATTTATAACTCCTCAGCGAAGCGATAGTAAATAGCTTGCTTATCGAATAATCTAATAGCTATATTTTAATAGCTTCTGCTTTAAGTGGATAAATAGCTTAAATGGTATTATCTTAGGAGCTTGTTATTTTAAAATAATAAACACTTTGCTA